CAGAAACCAAGACCAACTAGAAGTATTTTTCTCTTCAACAATAGCAAATGCAAGAGGAAACATATGCTCGTCAGCGTCAACTGATGCGGCTATAAGTAACTTTGCCATACAAGTTTGTACCATCTATTTGAATTAATGGTCAACAGTATTTGAACCCTTCAATTGCAGGACCGAAGTACCAAAAACACAACCAAAAATAAGATTTCCAGGAGCATGCGATGGTATCAAATCCCATTACAACTTGAGTTTCTGCATTCAACCAATAAGGAACTTCCTCATATGATTTCTCCCAATCACCAAAAACTTTAACTAGTGTTTTTCTTTTAGCTTGCCACATACGTCTATAGTTCACAATATATCCAAAACCTTTTTTGATAGTTTCTTGCAGTACACCTATAGATGTACTAGGATCACATCATATAATATTTTGAATTTCGTTACAGATTAAATATGAATCCAATTGTGCGTGGTCCTCTGATCCTGTGTGACCTTTGAATATAAACACCAATGAAGTTTCTCAAGTATGGTGATTTCAAACATTCCGTGGGTTTTATGTCGACTAGCGCGAAGTCTCCAATTACAACCTTCATTCCATTATTTGCATCTCACATACTAAATATCTTAGTTTGATTCTGCCACAGTAATTTGGCAATGTTGTGCAACACAATATTTTTTTACTGCAAGTTGTACATCGTTTTTTGTCACAATTTTTCTACTTTTGTATATATCGCTTGGATCATTTTCAACAAACGTTAACCTTTCCTCCAACGTTGACCCTTCTTCACATATAGAATAAATTGTCTCAAAATCTATTTGTGTGAATATATCTGAAGGTATTTCTTTGTTTGGACATGGAGGAGGGTTGTTTATTGGGGTATTCATGCATAATTTCGTTCCAAACAACTCATCAACTTCTACTTCTATATCAGTATCTCCACCATTTCTAGGTTCAATTACCAATCCCTAGATAATGACATATTTGGTCAACTTGATTTATGAGAATAAATCTCTAACCTAGAACTGTACAAAAATAATTAAAAATTAATAGTACAAAAAAATGATAATTATCAAAATCATCCACTAAAAATGAATAAAAATACTACTTAGCACACTACAAACAAACAAAATCCACAAATCCAAATAAATTAAAAAATAGTCAACTTTTTGTACAACCAATAAATAACATTAATAGTACAAAACAGTGATAAAAAATATAACTTAAAAAAAGTCATACCAAAATAGTCCAAACAATTTAACACGTTCCAAAAATCAAACACCAATAATACACCATATTACAAAATATATAAATATATATATATCACCAACTTGCAAATCACTCAATATTTAAGTCTACAAAATAATATTAAAAAATCAAATATGTTCAAATGAAACACTACTCATGCAAAAGATTACAAAAAAAGAAAACAAATAGAAATAATATACTATATTACAAAAGAGAAAAAAAAAACAGCAAGCAATAATATTGAGAAGAAAAAAAAAGAAAAGGAGTGCAATACCAGAAGTGACGGGTGGCGAGACCGGCGGCTGYGGGRGGAGAGACGGAGGCAAATTGGGYGAGAGARAAGAAATTTGAAAAGTTAGATTTAAGTACAGTGGGGTCGAAAAGGAAAGGGGGTGGGGACCTAATGCAATTTGCACACGAGTTCCTAAAATCGTGTGCATTGCACACAAATTCAATGAAATCGTGTACAATGTACATGATTTTTTACTGCCCGTGTGGCTCCAACTGCACAGTTGGAGCCACRTCACACAAGACTCGCGTCCATTGAACACGAGTTTACTGATGCTAAATCGTGTCTACCCTACTTTTGGAAATATTWTCAAACGTACCTTATTTTTATTTTCTTTTTTACATTATTAAAAAACAAAGTCGAATAAATGGAGATGTTATACAATTGAATTAAAGTTTATTTTAGATGTAAATGTAATATATAAACATACTTAATTGCATATAGAGTTGTTTATTAGTGAATGAGTATATTAATTTATCTTAATTCTAAAATTAAAAATAAAAATAAAAATTTGATGAAATAAAATATATGAACAAAAGAATGAAAGACAAAAATCTAATGAGAAGATGTCCTCAGCATAGAAATTTGTGAAACTTGTGTTTCAAAAGGGCGTCGAATAAACATCTTCGATGTCTCCTTTGTATCCTTAAAATGTCAAGTATCTTACATTCCTATAAAACAAACGTGTGAATCCAGATRTTCATCTCATGGATTCCCACGAAGTACTTTTTTAAGTTCAGAGACTTGTTAGGTACAACATTATACAATTAATAAGGGACTTTTTAGATAGTTCTTAAATTTTGGGAACCTATTAAACACCATTCTAAAAAGTCCGAGGATCAAATTTATAATTAATATATATAAGAATAATGAGGGTAGGATTTTGAGATGTGTTGATATGATGTTTAAGTTCTTTTAAATTTTACTATTTCATATTTTCTCTCTTTTTCATGTTACATGGTTCTTTGAAGAGTAAAACCATATTTATTTGTTAGACCTGTACAGTGTCGGATCCAGGATTATATGTCAGGAGGGGCACAAATGTATATAAATATAATGGAAAAATCAATTTTATACTAGAATTTGACGATGTGTATCAATTTTTGCACCATACAATTGGACAATGTTGTAATTTTCATCTTGAATTTAAAAATGTCACACAATTTATCATTCGACAGATTTTCATTTGAAAATTTTTTGGAAAAAATAATCTCATGTGTCAAATTAATAAAAAAAATACATAATTAGTATGAAAATAATTGATAGGATTTAGACAAAATCGACATTAGAGTTGTTATAAATTTGTAAGCTTTTGCAGAGTTATTTAACCGTTTATATTGTGCATTAATCCAACTTAATCTGAGAATTTTTATTTTTATTAAATTGGTAAGTTTTTGTGGATTTTTTAAATTAATGGGACGAATTAGAATAAACTTAATAGAAAGATAAAAAATTATAACAATTATCTAAGTTTAGGGTTATGAACCTAACTTTATTAAAAGAAATAATTCCACAATATAAATTTAATTAGATATATTTGGTAAAAAAAAATTTAAATTATTGTTTTAAATGAAAAGAATTAGACATATTTTGTCCAATAAAAACATTTTAAAAAAAATTGGACATAATTTTGTAAAAAAAAAAATTGATAAGAAAAGACACAGAGGTRAGGTTAAGACATATTTTATCAAGAAAAGACAAGAGGTAGGTTAAGACAAAAAAAAAGGCAAATTCAGATTTGAACTAGGGACGGGTAAAAAAAAAGAAACAAAACGAAAAAAAAAAGGCAAATTCGGATTTGAACTAGGGATGGGTAAAAAAAAGGGAACAAAACTAAAAAACAAGGCAAATTGGGATTAGAACTAGGGACGTGAGAGTAGGGGCACGCCAATAGACAACAAATATTAGTTTTTATTCAGACGCATGCTAAATAATGTTTAGTTAAAAATTCAGAGTCACGTGCCTTTTGGTCCCTTCTTAGATTCGCCCAAGGACATGTATAGTTGTGTGATTACAAGTATGTATTTTTGTGAAAGTTTATATTCGCAATTATCCTCTCTTGATCTTACTTCTTGTCATGAATATGTAATTACAAATGTGTTTTGCTAAATATGACTATACTCTATTAATTAATAGTGAATTTGGAATGCCTCATGAAAATTKAAGTGTAAAATAAAATAAACTAGTATTTGATAAACATAATTATAAAATAAATAAAGTCGTTGGCCTCCAAAATATGTTCTATAAACTCGCCTTTGCTGGTATCAACTTTTTAATATTTGTTGCAATAATGTTTATGTAATTTATTATAATTATTATTCGTTTTTTTTAGTACGAAGGAGAACCTTCAACTTTTAAGATTAATTATGTTCTATTATACTATATATTTAATAGTGCTTTTTAAGAGATCCAAAATTTCAAAATGAAAAAAGAGACCGATCAAAAGAAAATGAAAAAAGAAAAAAAAACATATTGAATTAAAATATGAAAAATAACAAAACTTTATCAATATATAAATTAAAACAACACTATCTTGCACCAGTGGTCTAATGGTAGAATAGTACCCTACCACRGTACAGACCCGGGTTCGTGATCATGGGTCGATCAAAGTCGTTTGATCCTCATACGAAAATTCTTGTTGCATCTGAGCGCGATTATATTTTTTCCTTTCTCTATTTTTTGGGAAAAAAAATTATTTGTTAAAAAGAAAAAGATGGTTATTGTATAATATTAATATAAAATCCTGAATCAATTTCTATGAGATCTAAATATGTTTTTTTTTTCACGAGATTGTGAAATTTTTTATATTCTCTTCATTCTTTATCTTAATTATACTTCGACGAACAGTACCTATACTATTTATTATCATTAAAATTTTTTTATAATATTTACAACTAATTTTAAATAATTAATTCACCATCTTTTAAGATATCAAAATAAAATTTAAAAAATTATTGAATTAATCACTTTTTATATATCAACAATATGATCGTCAAATTGAATAGTAAATGACTGCTAAAATTTAAAAAATTTAAGAGTACTACAAATAAATAAATAAATATATATATATGTATATGTATATGTATGTATATGTATATATATATATGTATGTAGATGTATATATATATGTATGTACATGTATATAAATATATATATGGTGCAAAATATATTTTTTTTAGTGCAACAAATGTCAAAACAATGATTTGAACTTTCAAACTCAAGAGAGAAAGTAGAATCGCTAATCTATGCTTGTATCGTGTTTATGGTAAAAAAAATTATATTCAATTCATCAGTTGAATTAAATATTCTTAATAATATGGACTCACAAAACTAATAATGGAAGTAAATGTGGAAGTTACCTTAAGTGGCCTACTTTCCAAATAAGATCATTAATCAATTATTGTGGCTGCCATATTTGTAAATGATATATCTGTATATAAATAATATATGTTCTTCGATTACCGATCATCCAACAATCTTTTAATCAGACTGATAAATTTACTGCATTGAATTTTGTGAGAGATGGCTAAGTTTTCTTGCTCCCTCTTTTTCCTTGTTGTCATTCTTTTTTCAGGTTTGTTTTTAAGATATCTCTATGTTTGGTCTTCAAAGTTATTAGATATGGATAATATAAATTTTTAAAAATTTTCGAACCATGACTCTATATTATGGTGTAGTTTATATGCATGTTTTTTACTAAATATGTTATTAGGTCGGTAAATTATAGTTTTCATATTAATACTTTAAAATTTTCAGATGTTTCCCCTTATTGATATTTTAAATTATTAAATCAAACTTCTATTTAATAGTACCATTTAAATTGAATGACAAAATGTTTTTTTAGTGGAATGATTATGGAGTGATTTAATTGACAAGTAATATCTTAATATTAAAAAGAATTTTATTCATGTAAGCATAATTCAATTAGTCACATTTCTTACCTCTCTAAAAGTGAGAGGTTTGAATCTGCCCCTCAAAATTATTAAATCCTTTTTTTAAAAAAATTATTAAATCCTTGAATTATGTTTTGAAAATCATAATTTTTTGTTTTTTTTCCAAATATGAGGTGTGATATTGAATCTTCAACCTTAAGGAAGATAATAGATATCTTATCTACTTAACTATACATAAGTTAATCGAAATGAGTTCCAAGAGTCGTGTAAGGCAAAGTTTTTATCTTAATTTTCTCAACTAATTTATTGGTTTAGCAATGTTGTAAAACTTGAAATTTTGTGAGAAAAAGCCCTATATTAACCTAAATTGAAATAATATTGCAATTTTTTTTGCAGCTGCATTGATGGTGCCTAAAGTAGTTCATGCAACACAATGTGAAGAGAAGTTGTATGATTATAGCTGCATACCAAAAGAATGTAACCAAAAGTGTCAAGCGAAGCACCCTAATTCATCATCTGAATGTGTTCCGCTTCCTCCAATGCCCTTTAACTATGCTTGCTATTGCACCTATGACTGTGCTTGAAACCAAGTTCTGCTTTTCTTTTCATTCAACTGATCGTATGGTGATGTCATAATTCCCCATATTTCCATCAATAAAATAGTTGGATGACTTTATTCTTATTAACCATTCTTGGATCTCATGCATTTAAAGTTATTCTCCATTTTCATCTCCAACAACATAAAAATTGAGAAAAAAAAAGTGGTTAAAAAGCACGTTTGGTCCCTGTACTTTCACTAAAGAAACAATTTAGTCCCTAAACTTCAATTGGTAACGTTTTAGTCCTTGTACCTTCCTAGAGTAACAATTTAGTCCCTGAATTTTAACTTGTAACGATTTAGTCCCTGTAGTTTAAAATTTGTAACAATTTAGTCCCCATCGTAAATTTTTTTATTAAAATTAAGTGTCAAATTTTAGCATATAACAATTTAATCTTTCTAATTCATAAACATATTTGGTCCCTCTTTAGTTTATCAATCTATACATACAAGAAACTTAACAAAAAAAATTTCACGATAACGACTAAATTGTTACCAACTTTAAATTACAAGGACTAAATTGTTACCTATTAAAGTTCAAGGACTAAATTGTTACCAATTTGAAAGTACAGGGACTAAATCGTTACAAACTAAAGTTTAGAGACTAAATTGTTACTTTAGCGAAAGTACAAGGACTAAAAGTGTTTTTTAGGCCAAAAAAAAATTTACTCATAAATGGAGGCTCTCCCTCCTCCCTATTTGAAATGGGACCTTTTTTTTTGTCATAACTAGTAATAAATACAGCAAATAAATTTTATTGTATTTAGAATGGGACCTAATATGTGATAAGTATTTTGCAAGTGTGTCAAAATTGCTCCTTTGATAAAGGGGATATTGAAATAAGGAAGAATTGTAATATCTGGAAAATAGTTGAATATGTATCTAGACTAATATTTTTTAAATATGGTACACTTTTGTAGGATAGACTTAATTGGCATCTATCAATGAGAGACATCTATCGATGTCAATAAAAGATAAGGTCTATCACATGTCTATTATTGATAAATATCTCAATGATATGTCTTATCACTAATAGATTCTCATAGGCATGCGAGGTTGATCTATATCAATGATCTTAATTTTTTTTAATTGTGTCATATTTGAAAATCTTTTTAATTTGTGATAGAGATTTGCTATTATTTTGAGTCTGATTGTTATATGTGCAACTGACCCTTAAAAACACACACTTTTATTTCAGTGCACGTATCAACGTGATATTTTTAGTAATGATCATATCTATTGAGAAAGTTGTAATTAATGGATTTGTTGAAACTTGATCATGATAATGTGCCAGCCTCTCAATGTGATATTAGAATATCAATAGATCTTCTAATTTACAATTGAATACACTCATGATAATATTTTGCTTTGTCTTTTTATATCAAATTACTTAGGTTATGATATGTCTGTTTATAATATCTTGACAATTAGTCGAGTTATACTCATGTTTTTTTTAGCGCCAAGTTATACTCATATGAGCATAACTAAATATATTGTTATTTCAAAAAAAAAAACACTAAATATATTGCATTGTGATTTGCATGTTATAATATATTAGTAGTTTTAACGAAGTTCTTCCAGCGAAGTGGTGTAATTAGAGCCTTCTTCTTATCTAAAAATGAAAGAGTTTAACAAAGCTTATATAATTATTTCAAAATTCAAAGTAGCTAAATATAATATTTTAAAAAACAATAAAAAGAAATAAAAACCAAAACATATGTTAAGATATTTGCTTCACAATTATAACTTCACTATATGCAACACATGACAAATAAAATCGAAAAACTAAGTCAATTGACCGAATTGAATAACACATATAATGCAACAGATGTAATGCTTGAATGGATATATAGTTATTAGTGCATTCTTATTATGAATAATGTTCTTTTATAAGAAAAATAAAAGATATATCATATGAAATTGTCGACATGTAACTTCATATAAATATTTTAAACAGTAGGGATGCCTTAAAAAAGCAATAGTTTTTAAATCAGACGAGCTAGTGTTAAATTAAACATCCATAATGTATTCTAGCTTGAACTATAAACATGATCTATTTATCTAAAACATACCGATTACAATATTTTATAATTGAAATATTTGTATATAGTCGGTAGTCTAATAGATGTTACAAATTGCTCATGTTTGGACTTATATATGGAGTGAGTAAATTTATAAGAACGATATGCAAATAATCTTAGCACAAAGAATTGTTGGAAAAAAGATAATACTGAGTACCTAGATATCTAAAATAATGGGTTGCACTAATAGTTGGATGATAAAGGTGATGAAAATTATTTTTTTTTTATACAAATAATTCAAAATCCACGAGTAGATATTCAATATAATAGCTAAAATGAGCATAGTTTAATAGTAATTGACACCTACCTCCAACCAAGAGGTTGTGAATTCGAAACCTCTCCCTACACGTTGAAGTAAAATAAATAATATTTAATATAATAAGAATTTATTGTTAAAAAAAAAGGTGGAGATCCTTCGAGTGCTTTTCCTTCGTTTGTACACTTCAAATCTTGATTTCTCTCCCTATCAGTTTTTTGTTTTCTTTTTTCAAGTCAGGTTTATTTCATCAATATTATAGAAGTGTTTTGCACTTACGATCATAATCGATCGACTGTCTGTGTATTTGATCGGTCTATTTTATGAAGCCCTCTAAAATCAATAATCTCTAATCGACGAAAATCGATAGATCAGTTTTCGATGTCGATTTGTGCCAGAAATCAACTATGACTGACCGTTGATCACCCCTACCTTATATCATTAAAACGGTAAGTAATATTTTGACAAGTCTAACTATCCTCGTAACTAAATATATTGCATCACAATTTGCATATATAATATAGGAAGTAGTTTTAGTAAAGCTTATCTAAAAATTGGAAAAAATGGTGTTTAACAAAGCTTATATATGTTTGTTTCAAAAATCAAAAGTAGCTAAATCTAATATTTCAAAAACAATAAGAAATAAATAAAAAAAAAACTAAAATATATTATATTAACTCTCACGGTATCAATGCAACACATGACATATTATAGTACTAAAAAAAACGACATATTATATTTTATAAGGAAAATTTGGGAACAATTCACATAATTACCATATTTGTAAATATAGGAAGGGGATGTGATTTTGTAAATATGATAATTTTTCAAAAGTTTTTTTTTTACGCCTATTTTGATATTTTTACAAAATTTATTTTTCACTTTTTATATAATACTCATTTACATCTATCAATCTAATATAAGACAAAACAGAGTTTTGGTAACCGTCTTACAAATGTTGTAAAGTATAATATCTCCCTTACATGCAAAATACTTTGAACCTAAGCTATATTCATGCAAAGTATTCTCTTTTTATAAAAACAATAAAATTACCCTCCGGAAGATTCCGAATGTCTGCTTGGTCTAGTAACTTTTCCTCGTGAATCTTCAGGAGGGAAGTTTTTTCCTTATAAAAATAGCGGATCAGTCATATTCTTAATAATGGTAAGGGACGATTCCAAACTTTTTTTTTTAATAAAAAGATCCACCTTTGTGACAAATATGCCCCCACAAAGTATATCTTCACAAAATCCATTTGCTCCAATAACATCTACAATAAAACTTTCCAACCTCTAACTTAGTAATAAAAAACACTAAAATCATAATTAGTTTCCAAGCTTAATTTAAAGATATAATTTAGCTCCAAATTTATCGTTCTAATCAATAAATTCAGCATTGATATAATAAAGCCACTGAACAATTTATGATAAAGAATTTAGTACTAAAATACATCTTTCCTATCGTTTTCCATCGAGAATCTTGATTTTAAGTGGTTAAGTAGAAGGAAAATAACTATTTTATTGAGTTATAATTCGTCCTCAGTCTCAAGAATTTAAGAGATATGGCATAACATTTATATATTAATAAGGTTAAATAACAAATTTGATTTTAAAAAATACCGTGTCTTATAAGTCTCGTAACTTTTATTAAAATGTCTAATAAGTTTTCCTAAGTTTCCGTTGTGTCTAATACATTCCTAAATTTTAAAAATAAGTTGCCTAGTAAATTATTGAACTTTTAACTTTTGTATACAATAAGTCTGTACACTTGAAAAGTATATAATAATACATCTAGGATTATGAGACATTTTTAAGCTCAATGACCTATTAAATAAAAAAAATAAGGTTTATAAACCTATTAAATATTTTTTTAAAGTTCAGAGACCTATTAGACACAGCAATAAAAACTTGTGAATTTTTAAATAAATATTAAATTTCAAAGACACAACTCTAAAAGTGTAAGGACCAAATTTATAATTTAACCAATAAATAAGTATATATAAGAATAATAAGTATAGGCTTTTGAGATGCGTTTATGTGATGTTTGATTTATTTTAAATTGTATCATTTAGGGCCCGTTTGATAACCAGTTTTTTGTTTTGTTTTGTTTTTTTGTTTTTAGTTTTTGGTTTTTGATTTTATGTTTTTAAAAAACAAAAACCATATATCTTTGATAATCATTTTTTGTTTTTGTTTTTTTTTAAAAAAAAAAACAGAAAACCAAACATGTTTGGTAACCACTTTTAGTTTTCTGTTTTTAAAAAGTTAGAAAATTGAAAAAACATATTAGAAAGAGAAAATTATGTGTAGAGTAGAGATTATGACAATGTTATGGGTGCGAGTGAGAACGATTTCCCCCATTCTCATGCTCGTGAAAATTTTTAATCCCCATCTCCTCCTTGTTCTTCGGTCTGCGAGATGTTCTCGAGAAAAATTATCGGTTTTATAATTGTTTTTAATTATTTTTAGAATTTTAAAAATAAAAAAAAGTGTAATAAATATATATTAATTATTTAAAAAATGGAATTGGGGACGGGGTCAAGACATACATTTCCTATTTTCGAGGCCCGACCCTACAGAAATTTTTGTCATCCCTAATGTGTAGAGACATGAAAATTTAAGTTTAGATGTAAATAAACTTTTGGAACATAAATTTTAGAGAGATAAATAAAAAGATTTAGAAAAAAAGTTATTGAAAGAAAAGTTAAAGACAAAAAGAGAAAGATTTTAGAGAAAAAAAAGTAAAGTCGAG